TTGTTGTTTTTATATATATATACTGTGTGTGTTTTTGTAGTAGAAAATTAAAGGCTTACAGTGCAAAATATGTATCTGTTAGGTGTCTTTTATCTAAGCAAGAATGTCACTAATAATTTTGATATTTTAATTTGTGATGATGATTGTAAGTATCAAGCTTGGTATACTTCACTAAAAAAGGAAAACAATACTTAAAGTAAACATTTTAATTATTAAACATGGGGTTTTGTGAAAAGGTTATGAACAATAAACAGTTTAACTGTTTTAGAGCTTCTAGAAAAGCCTTTGTTTGGAGAAAAATAATTTATTCTCACCTGACTGACATTAATAGCTAGTCTAAGAGGGGCCAAGACAAATTTAACTTCTCCATTGTCAAACATTTCATTTATGCCAGTTTGTGTCTGTTTCAGTATGTATGTTGCTATCAATTTATTATTGCACAGTTATTTTGTGGCACAACATGCTCTGTTGTTCCACGAAGTCAATGCTTTTATGTCAGTTTGCATTAGGGTTAGGAGAGATTGGAAAAATTAAATTAATCACCATTATTTGCATTACTAAGCCGATAACGTGACAATTAATCCCATAGAGTCCCTGGATGCCTGCATGTCACATGACCAATTTAAATCACTCTAGTGAGAAAGATTTGCTCTCGGTAAAAATCTGTTCTAAATTGTGTCAAAAGTACAAACTTTAGGCTATACGTCTATTTTTAAATTATGTTGATAGACCAAGTAAAACAAGAGTTATGATCAATAGATTACACAACTTTAAAAAATGTTTGTTGTATTTGCAATGGAGAGGAGCATCGAGCAGACAGCAGACTGACCGGGGAAATCTTCTGTTTGTCTGCCTGGTGTCATTAATCGTATTAACCGTTAAGAGCCAAAAAATCATCGATTGAAGTTTTTCTGACAATTAATTGCACACGATACAATTTTTCCCAACCCTAGTTTGCATCCTTGGACTGTTCCTTTCAGCAAGTAGAAGGAATGGGTGCTACATCCCCACCCACTCAGTGTTTATATCATGTGACAATATTTTTTGTGAAAATTCCAGATTTTTGAAATTCAGTTAACAGGTAAACATCTGAAGGAGTTGACATGTACATTTTGTACAAGTAGGGCCTTCAGCAGCTAGTTGTAGCATTTCTGGTGCATCCTGGGAAACTTCAGAAATATTGTATTTTCTCTGCTAAAATTGATTTCCTGCAGCTTTATGAGAAAAACATATTCACATGAGCATCTCTAAAGTTTAAAAACTGGAGCTGTTTTTAGACATCAGCAATTAAATTTGGTCTCAGGCTCATGGGCAAGCCATTAGGATACTAGTCTGGTCAACATACAGTTTCATTTGTTTAAACTAAGGCTGTTCAAAGAGCTATTTACAGCAGGTGAGCTAATTACTGATCATAACCATACTACAGAACCACCACTTTGAAACATCTGAATTATTCCTTTAAGGTTTGTTTTTGTTCTGCCTGGCTTTTGTAAGGATTTGATGCAGCACTGAGTTCTGTCATGTTGCTGTAATTGGTTGAAGCTTGGCTGATTCACTCACACACGTAGTATTTTTTAATGCGAAAATCTGACTTTCCTCAGCTGTTCACCCCCTCTTCAGATGTTTAGCCATCACAAACCATCTGACAAGTCAGGTTAACACTTTCACACCACTATGTTTTTTAAGGGCATCCTCGGCAAGCCTGCGTCATCAGGGAGGGGGTGTCAGCATGTTCGAACGTGGGCACAGACTGCGTTCAGTCAAACATTTTCTCATRACTGTTCTCATTTTACAAAACATCACCATTGTGGAAAAAAGTTTGACTCAAGTAACTGATGTGTTAAAGCAAACTATGATGTTTAATGATGACCTATGCCTTTAGTGTAAAATCTAGACAATACTAAACATGTGGCGTAACATTTTAAGGTTGTTATATTTTTAGCAGAATTGTGAAGATATCAAAAACAATCACAAAGATAAACCAGAAATTGATTACAGTGATACAAATGATACATTTTCAAATCTCTGGYACATACAGTATATCAGAAAGTCTAACCTTTAGCTGTCTTTTCTGTATTTAATCTAAAAGCAGAATTACAGCATGGGGATGGAGCAGTTCAAAGTTTTGTACAGAAAAGAAAAAGGGATATAAAGAAGGTTTTGTTCCAGCAGCTCATAAAGTTTCTGGAACGGTGGTGATACAGGGCACCAATTAAGTAGTTTTTCGTCTGTGCTGGTGGTGGCATCGTCTCCAGGCATTACTCTCTGCTTGAATGGTTCCAGCTGGGAGGTGTAGCCTCCCATTTTCCTCTCCTGCCAGTGTATCATGTTCAGTTTGCATCCTTGGAAATAAAGCACAAAAAAAAATGTTCTAGAAACAAAGAACTGGCTTGTATTCAGTCAAACGTCCCATCTCTAAAACACAAAACTTGAATGAGAACAAATAATGTGTTCTTGTTGAAAGGTGTCAATGTTTTCTGAGTTAAAGCATCAATTATTTGGAACAGAAATCATAACTTTTGCTTTGCTTACAGTAATAACTGTTTAATACTTCCAGTTGTGAGATCATTAACAAACATTGTCAGTTTTCCAGCAGAAGTGATTGATGCACACAGGGATGGTCTCTGGGCTGTGGCTGTAACAAAAAAAAATGCTGGTCTAAGTGAAGTGTCTGAAGGTCCAAATTTGCTGTTTCAGCCACAGACCCCCTCAGGAATAAACATCAAATAGCATTCTAGGCAGCAGGATATTGGACACATCCTGAAACCAAAGACTGTGAACCTCAGATTACTGAGGTTTCTTCTGAATAGGCAGCTGCTGAGATGCAGATTGAGTCCATGCTGCATAAGCTAAAGCACTAGAAACTCTTGAATTTATAATGGCATGCTGTGAACATGTCTTTTTTTTCACTTCAGCGTCAAACTATTGTACTAAGACAGCAGTTTACAAGGAACAATTCTGTCAGCAAAAAGCTTGTGAAAGGTTTGGTCCATCAGATTTCAACATGTTAGATAAACTGTAATTTCATACCCCAGTGATGGCTGATTGGTCAGAATAGCTGTCAAGTTTATATGACTCACACAGTGTTTGTGTTTAGGAGAGCAACACCCATTGCTTACTAATCGTTTCAATTYGACTATTTTTTTACAAGACTTGTGTTTGGAATGCTAATTTTCATAGCGCTTAATCACTTCTATACTGAATATAAGATAATTGGAAATGCATAATGAGAAATACAGTGAGCGTTTGGTAAAGGTAGTCAATAGTTTGGGTAAAGAGTGTGAGTTGTACAGTTGAAACTACTTTTAGGCTCAAATAATAAGGCAGAAAAATGTAAATAATATTCAAGTTAAATAGCTAATTATCTTCAGCCCAGCTCAGATTTGGGTAACCTAAAGTGACTAAAAACTAGATGAAAAATGTACTGAAGCATTATGTTACAACCCACTGGCTCAAGGAGAAGTAACACTCTCCTAATTATCTTCTAGGGTGTACTGGGCTCGAGGCGACGTTAAACTATTGAACTCAAGGACCACAGCAAAGCAAAGATAATACAGCTTACTGCAGTATCCTGAAGTTTGCCCCTACCTAGTATAGTCCACAAAAAATAAAATAAATAAAAAAATAAATAAAAACGTCAAAATAACAAAAGGGTGAACATTGAAAGGACCAAAAAGGCCAGCTGGACAACGCACCTATCTAACCAGGGAGCTTCTGAAATGATTTCTCTTTCAACAATTGCCAACAAAGCATCACAAATTACTAAACTCTCTATACTGTTGTCAAACTTGAAAAAAAGGAAACTACAAAATTACTACAGTCYACCAATTGCAAGAAAACTACACCAAACAAAACATGAAGTCTAAAAAAAATAAACYGATAAAACAAAACATGTCCTAGAACCAATCCCGGACAAGCCCCCATTAAGTTACAACCCACTGGCTTRAAGGGAAGTAACATAAATGGGACAAGACTCAAGCCCAGTACACCCTAGAARATAATTAGTTGAGTGTTGTCCCATTCATTACTTCCCTTTTTGCCAGTGGGGCGTAACATGGGGTCCAAAGTTCATAATTACTTATATTTTAGCCGCAACTGGTATGACAATTAACTTATTTTCTCCACCATCTGAAAAAAATCTACCGTAAATATTAAAGAGAACAAAAGTGTTAGGGCGTCCATCTTAAAAACAAGTGTAAGTTAAAATAGTTCAGCAGAATAATTAACCAAAGTTTACCAGSTTTTTTTTTAGTATTTTACCCAAGAGAAATGATTTTAATGACATTCAAGCTGTGAAATAAACAAAGGTTTGAAAACTGGTTGAAACAWAACACAAATTTTTAACTGTAAATCTTGAACAAAATACTTGRATCTCTGCTTTYTTATTAATAGTTAAAATGTTTCAAATATAACTCTTGGGTTTCAAATTTCACCTCATAAAATCACAAGATCAATTCTAAACACAAAAACAGCAGRCACCTGTGCTCCACTGTTTGTTTTCCTGTTAGTTCATTTAAACTCAGCAGGTTTTATTCTTGTTTTGTGCATATATTTATATCTGTTTTGTCTAATTTGCACATATCTTGTTTTTTTTTTTCTTTTTCACAGTGGCAATGTACAGAGAGCCGTCTCTCCACGATTTGACAGAGTTTTCCCGCTCCGGCAGCGGCACACCTACCAAGAGTCGCAGTGCCTCAGCTGTCCTCAACGGAGGCAAAGCCGTGAGCCAGAACGAGTCGACGTAGCCTGGTAGCCAAAACCAGGCCAGGGGCCGAACCACGAAACCTTACCTCTTGCAGAGCGTGAATCTAAGCAGACTTGTGTCTCTGATCTATGGTTCAGGACTAGCTACAACAACAATCCACACRTAAAAACACCCAGATGCCATCATTACAAACTGTTAGTTTTCATCCTGGTCAGTATTCATCCAAACAGCATTTATAGCAAGAAACTTAACAGCACACAGGTCATTTTTGACTCAGAAAAAAAACTAATTAAGATTTTGTTTTGGGCTTATTATTTGTTTATTGGGGACTCTCTTTTGGTAGAGTTTGCATACCGGATAACTCATTTTATCTTGTTTTTTATTTCTTACATTTTTCTTAAGGATTTTTGTTTGGTCATGAAGACACRTGCATCAGTCAGACAGGGACAGGAAGTGAGATTATGCAGGTGTTCTGGGCAGCCAGTGGTGGCGCTTGTCCACATGGCTGAGTCGGTAGAGTTAAAGGCCCTGATCTCTGTCTCATTCATATTCCTGTGAATGCAAAGCCTATAAACTCCCTGGTGTGGCACAGCCTTGTTCAACTGGCCAGCCAGATGGTAGCTCTCCTGTGTCCTAGTGCACACGCTCAAAGACTGAGCTCTTTAGCATGGGGGAAATGAAGCCTATGTTTAAATGACCTGAAACGTAAAGGGCAGTGTGGCTTTCTTGCAGTTGTATTTCTTTACTTTAGTTTTTGTGTCAGAGATGCCACAGCTGCTCCTGGTTTTTAGCTATTTTTTTCTGAATTACCTGAGAGTCGTTTTATTTGATAACTAGTATTGTTTCTGTCCCTTCTTGTTCTTTGCCCTCACCATTGTTAATTATCTGTATTTCCTTTGTCATTTGAAGATGGAATGCAGCAAACCAAAGACAGATTGAAAGAGTGTCCCTTTAAGCTGTTGAAAAACATGCCAACATACAGTCAAAAAGAAAAGGTGGTGCATTTTTCCCACTGTACAGTTGCGATGAAGAGGAGCAAGGATTTTGTGGAAAAATAAAAATAGAAAAAGAAAACAAAAAAAACTATGGCTATAGAACGTGATGGTAGCAGCAGGCATGATGTTGTGCTTTTTTTCTGATAATGCTCAGTGATGGAAGAATGAAACGACTTATCAGTGTCCCCATTTCCTTCTGTTATCACTGTCACGTCTTTTGCTCTTGTCCTCGTGATTTGTTTCCTCTCTCTGTGTTTGTGTCATACTTCGATTCTTTTTTGTCCACCTCTATTGGCTGACAAAGCACACCATTAGAATATGGTGGAAGCCTGTTCCCAGGTTGCTTGTTCTGTGTTTGAGTAACTTCTTGTGGTGACAATATTTTCTATATGGGGGGGAAAAAGGAATACTGTGGACTTTTAGGTGGCTTAACATTTTATAGCAAATGTCATATTTATAAAAGTGAGAAAAAGTCAAAAATATATAAAAAACAAAACATCTTCCCTTTCTTGCACAGGGCATGTACACAATTATGTACAAAAAGGACCCTTTTTGTGGGCTGTGTACTCTTTCCTTCAGCTACATAACTTATTTCTGGTACATGCTTTTGGAAGACTTTCTTTTCTTGGTTTCCTCTGGAGGTGATTTGTCTTTGGTGGAACTATCTGTTGCATGGGAGAAAGCAGGGAAATACTGGATTAGAGCTGCATGATGTAGGCTATGTGTATTGCCCATGTTGGATCATGTGTTCCAAACTATCAGGCTAAATCTGATAAAACAACATAAACAGGCAGATGTTGCAGCTGCCTGATGACTTCCAGTTGTTTATTATTTGTTGTATACACAAAAATGCACTGAATAAAATGTTTATATTAAGATATACTTTTAAAATGTGTCAGATGTGGTTATTTGTGTGAATATTTGTTTTGTTTATCCCACTGACTGGCTGTCAATGTTAAAGACAGAGTTATTAGTTATTATTAAACTTTTTTATGGACAAGCATGGTAAAAGATGGCAACAATTTATCTTGCATCCCTAAACCTTCAGCACCCACAGGAACGTAATTAAGCACTCATCAACATTTTTTACTATCATCTGACATTTCTTTGTTGTTGATGAAAACATAACTTGAGGAACGACATGAACACAGATTTCTACTGCAATTTAAAGCTGCTGAATCATTGAACATGTGATTTAAGTAATTGTAATAACTTTATTGAACTTGTGATTTAAAATTTGCAGCTATGATCTGTAAAAGAAATCATAATAAGAAATTCACAAATTGAATTAGGACTGACTGCACTGACAAAAAAAAAGACTGCATTGACCAATTCTTTAGGGGCAATATGTAAAATCAACTTTTTTGAGTTTTATATCATGTTATAATGTTATACTCTCATAAAAAAACATGCCCAAAGCCTTGCTTTGACTCATTCAGGCATGTTTGAGAAATCCTGCAGCATTTTTAGGCAGCCATGCTGAGGAGCAAAACGACAGGTGGGGACCAGAAACTCCTTTTGGGACCAGAAACGCCTCTGGATTGTGTCCTTTTGGGACAATCTCCTCCTCTGGGATGTGTCTTTATGCCGAACTTCCTCATGGTAGAGCCCTCTCCACACACCTTGCCCATGACTCCTGCAGGCTCTCGTCAGTGACAAAGCAAACAACGGGTGAAATTGACAGTGAAAGTGAAACTGTCTGCTGAGCTCCTAACACTACTTCTCATTCAGTGAAGCTCTTTTCAGATTCAAAATACCTTTGGGGAAGTGTATTTTCAGATGCAAAGTAAACTGCGTCATAGTGCATGTGCGAACCCCCCCCCCCCCCCCC